ACACACACACACACACACACACACACACATATATATATATTACACACACACAAAGAAAAACAAGTAGATAGAATAGACAAAAATAGAAAGCGTCTAGTTTTTTTTTATAAAAAAAGAAGATAAATGGATAAAGTAGAATTAAAATAGAATAGAAAGGGCTACAATTATTATAGGGTCAAATAAAGATGGAACAGATGTGTTTTTAGTCGTTTCCTGAAGATGGCTAAGGACTCAGTTGCTCGGATTAAGTTGGGCTGGCCATTCCACCAGGAGGGAACATTTAATTTAAAAGTCTGTGAAAGTGATTTTGTGCCTCTTTGAGATGGCACAATAATGCGTCGTTCACTTGCAGAACGAAATATCTAGAGGGCACATAACTCTGAAGTAATGAATTTAGGTAAAGGGGTGCAGAGGTAGTGGTGGTTTTGTAGGCAAACATTGATGCCTTGAATTTTATGCGAGCAGCTACTGGTAGCCAGTACAAATTGATGAACAGAGGTGTGACATTTGTTTTTTTCGGCTCATTAAAGATTAATCTTGCATAGGGGTGCTCCGATTGATCGGCTACCGATCACTATCGGCCGATAATCACGTTGGGATGTTTGATCGGTGGTCTCTAAAATGCCGATCTCAAAAAAACTATCTCAAGCTGATGACGCTGCCGTAAGAGGTTTGGCACGACATGCAGCGGCACCCTCTCAGTCTGTTTGGCGCGGGTGAAATAATTATAAAGCTCCGCAGGCGTTGGAGGAAGGCAGAGGAGTCTGAGAAGGAGGGCCTGAAAGCTCTCTGGGATGAGATCAGAAGACGCCTTGCTAACCTCCGGAGGGTAGAACGCATCAGAAGACAGAGGAAAAGGAAGGAGAAGGAAAGATCAAGTTTCTTCAGGAAGCCATTCCGGTATGCACGCGGGCTCCTTGAGGAGAAGACAAGTGGAATTCTGGATGTCTCCAAAGAAGAACTGCAGGAGTACATCCGCACTCAGTACAGTGACCCAGCAAGGAACAAACCCCTAGACTCGCCAGGGTATGTGCCTAGACCCTCAGAACCATCAGCCCTGTTTGACGCATCACCACCAAAGTTCAGCGAGATCAGGCAGGTGATCCAGCGGGCAAGATCTGCTTCAGCACCAGGCCCGAACGGAATACCGTACAAGCTGTATAAGAGCTGCCCAGGAGTGCTGAAGCTGTTATGGACCCTGATGAGAATCACCTGGACTAAGCAGACCATACCATCCGAGTGGCAGAGAGCAGTGGCAGTCTCTATTCCCAAACAACAGACCGCCAAGGCCATCGAGCAGTTCAGGAGCATAGCTCTACTGAATGTGGAGGGGAAAATCTTCTTCTCCGTGATGGCAAGAAGAATGACCACTTACCTCACGGAGAACAACTACATCAATACCAGCTGTCAGAAAGCCGGGATTCCAGGTTTCCCAGGCTGTGTAGAGCATGCTTCCATGATTTGGGAACAGATCCAGACCACTAAGAGGGAGAAGAAAGATCTGCACGTCATATGGCTAGACCTAGCCAATGGCTATGGGTCAGTGCCACACCTGCTCATAGCCTACGCTTTGGAATTCTTCTACATCTGTTACGTGTATCTGTGTGACACTTGTATTCTAAGCCCATAGGTGGTGTTGTGGGGGTTTTCCCATTCTGTGAGTCGCGTGACGTCATCCAGGATTCCGGATAAATAGGCTGCGAGGCGACAATGGCGGGTCTCTCTCTCTGTTGCTCTGCAAGCGTCTCTCTCATCGCCTCTTTGAGGCTATTTTTTTGTTTTTCTTTAAGCTTAGGTTTAACTTGTAAATTTGGGTTTTGATATGTTATATATTTTCTTACTTATCAGTAGCGGGTAGTGTATTTATGTATTAGTTCACGTTTTGTTTATTTAGTAAGAACAGAGCGAGGGAAGCAGGGGTCCGGAAGACTCACCAGTTCTTATTTTTATTTCGGGAGTCAGGTAAGAACTTTACTCTGAGAACAGGGGTAGACAGGAGTCTGTTTTCTTAGCTTTCCTACCCGTGAGCTGATTATTCTTTCTTCGGTATTATTTATCAGATTGTTCATAAAATATTCTTTGTGAATTGTTTCTCATTATTTTCTGGATGTTTGAGTTGAACTCTGTAAATTTAATTAAATGGAGGCGTCTTGAAATTCACATCAGGTGTTGTGATTCTTTTTAATATGTTCGGCCTGTGTCCTTTTATTGGATGGTTTGAATTAACAAGCCTTAAAATGGTTATGGGCCGTAACAACATCCCAGACAACATCAGGACCATGATCATGAACTACTACCAGGACATGCACATGTGCTTTGCACAGAAGAAAGTCACCACTGGTTGGCAACAACTGGAAGTAGGGATCGCAATGGGATGCTCCATTTCTCCCATCCTCTTCGTGGCAGCGTTTGAGGTCATCCTGATCGGGGCAAGGCAGATGGTGGGTGGGGTCCGGCTGCCTGCAGGTCAGAGGCTCCCGCCCCTAAGAAGCTATATGGACGACATCACCTACCTGCTACGAACCGCCCCATGTACAACCACGCTGCTTAAGAGGCTGGATGAGCTGATATCCTGGGCCAGAATGAAGTTCAAGCCACAGAAGTCAACAACATGTAATTTAATGAATATGTGGACATCAAAACATGTAAACTCGGAGTGAGGGTTAGAGCTTTTATTTTGAAACCGCGAGATGATGTATTTTCCTGTGTTTGCGTGGATTTATAAATAATTTACCTTACAAATCTGATGAAATGGTGCACGTTGCGTTCCCAGATGAATGTTATAATAAACCCAAACTCACAACAGCATGTACAGATGGAGTTTGAGCCGCTCTACACATGTAAATTATAACACTTCCGGCGGAACAGCATTTACTGTGAACGGAGCCGCTGTGAGACGCACATATATAAGTTCAAGCCACAGAAGTCAACAACATGTAATTTAATGAATATGTGGACATCAAAACATGTAAACTCGGAGAGAGGGTTAGAGCTTTTATTTTGAAACCGCGAGATGATGTATTTTCCTGTGTTTGCGTGGATTTATAAATAATTTACCTTACAAATCTGATGAAATGGTGCACGTTGCGTTCCCAGATGAATGTTATAATAAACCCAAACTCACAACAGCATGTACAGATGGAGTTTGAGCCGCTCTACACATGTAAATTATAACACTTCCGGCGGAACAGCATTTACTGTGAACGGAGCCGCTGTGAGACGCACATATGTAACCTACACGCCTATAACTGCATCACATATAATTATTTAATTAAATCGTAGCATTTGTGAATGCACAGTTATGCTTAATTATAATTTTTAAGCGGGTTTAATATATCACGAGGCCTTGGAAAACAGTCTAATAATGTGTTTTATGGATTCTCGTTCGTGAAATGTGCCACTTCCGGTATTTTGCCGGTTAGTCGAAATTAAGTCGAGGATTTTTAAAAATCGATTTGATTGTATTGAAAATGAAATCAGAGGAATTTAGTATTAATACTACTATAGTTTTGCTGTAGTGAAGGGAACTGACTTCACAAAAGTTTTGATGGCATTTTTTCCATTCTTATCACTGCTGATCCATATCCAGATGCGTTCTCATTTAGCCTGTCTGTTTTTGTTTCATGCAGGTTTTATCTTTGTATCTTTGTTTGTATCGTGATTAAAATGTAGTGGTTGGCTCTCATTTAAAATGGCTTTTTAAAAAATGTAATATGTTTAGTTGTTGTAGTAGTCGCAACTGCCTGTTTTTTGCAAAAAAAGTTTAATTGCAAGGACAAATATTTATGGCCGGTAAATTTTCTGAAGTGTGATTATTGTGTTTATTTTATTTTATGTAAAGCACTTTGAATTACCATTGTGTATGAAATGTGCTATACAAATAAACTTGCCTTGCCTTGAAGTCACCAGCCACTGCACATGTGAAAGTTAGTTTTAGGCCCTGCTTGCAAGAGGAGAAATTAGGACAAATGTATTGCATTTTCCCTACTGTAGAGTAAGGTACAATAATATACCTGAAAAAAAAAATAATAATAATTTTTTTCACAGTGCATTTGTTTTACAGTATATGGCTATTACTATTATAGGAATAATACTATACAATTATTATTATTTTATTCTAATTTGTTTGGCTTCCAAATTCACCAGTGAGACTGAGACACTATATCACAACAAAAAAGAGGGTTGAGTCCCCTTTAAATTTCAAGAACAAGTAAATTCACCAGCTTTTGTCTTTTAGTTTGTAGTTAGTAAATTAATAGAGTGCAAGTCTAAAAAGGGCACGGTTTTTTGTTTTTAAGAACATAATTAGAATAAAGAGTGCTAGAGTTGGAGGGTTAAATAGAGATGGAAGAGATGTGTTTTAGCTGATTCTTGAAGATGGCTAAGGACTGATTGAGTTGAGCAGGTCATTCCACCAGCAGGAAACATTTAATTTAAAAGTCCGTAAAAGTGATTTTGTGCCTCTTTGGGATGGCACAATAATGCGCCTTTCACTTGCAGAACGCAAGCTTCGAGAGGCACAAAAGTCTGAAGTAATGAATTTAGGTAAAGGGGAGCAGAGCCAGTGGTGGTTTTGTAGGCAAACATTAATGCCTTGAATTTTATGTGAGCAGCTAATTGGTAGCAAATTAATAAACAGAAGTGTGATGTGAATTATTTTCGGCTCATTAAAAATGAATCTTGCTGCCACGTTCTGGATTAATTGTAAAGGTTTGATAGTACTGGCTTGAAGACCCGCCAAGAGAGCATTGCAATAGTCCAGCCTGGACAGAACAAGAGCTTGAACAAGGAGTTGTGAAGCATGTTCCGAAGTCTGAGAAAGTCAGCTGATCATCAATCATAACTCCAAGGTTTCTGGCTATTTTTGAAGAGTTATGGTTGATGTGCCTAACTGGATGGTGAAATTGTGATGAAACAATGGGTTTTATGGAACCACAAGCAGTTCTGTCTTGGCAAGGTTGAGTTGAAGGTGATGGTCCTTCATCCAACAAGAAATGTCTGTTAGACAAGCTGAGATGCAATCATCAGGATGAAATTAGAAGGTAGAGTTGAGTGTGAAATAAAGATTTATCGTGATAATTATCGATATTGACTGATATGAAAAAAAATTGTTGTGATAATATTTTTGGCCATATTGCCCAGCCCTAGATGCATATGTGGATTTTCTGTGCAAGGGTACCCTCTGGCTTCCAGTATGGATGAAACAGACATTACATGTGTTTATAGCGCTCAGTAATGGCCAATCCATAAATAAATAAATAATACTTATCTTTAATATATTTTTGAATATTAATACAACGTTTTTCTACAGTGTACAGAAGTGTACTGGTGTTTTAATTAAAGTTTATTGTTTTTTTTTTGTTTTTTTTTGTAATAAAATTTGAATTTAAAAAAATGTATATATACCATAATGTGCCAAGCCATCAGAACCGAACTGTTGGTTAAAGGTATGTGTGACTAAATGCAGACCTAACTGCATTTTGAACATTGTGCAATTACAATTTTGACATTAGCCATCAAGTAACTTCAGGTAATAATGTAGCTATATACTGTATGAACACCCGCGCTACTCGTTTGAGCTGCACAGCATGGACCGTTTAGCAGCTCGGACCAATAATTGACCTATCGGTAAGCCCCTCCTCTCGATCACAGATAAGCCAATGGCAGTTCAGTATTAGCTGCACGGAGACCGAAACTCTGACATCTGACTCTGACGGCGTCATGGCGAAACATTGGTGTATCAGAAGCTTTCATCAGTTTGATGGTGTTTATGCTATAAAAATGGAAAAACTATTTGCCTGGGTTACTTGTAACACAGATTCCAGTTATATTGAGAGGATGGACAATTAAATTTATTTTATTCCATTTCCTAATCCTAAACAAAACAGATCAAAATGTCCCTAAGCATTCAGTCCCAGTCCCAATCCCAATCCCAATGAAGACGAAAATGTAAATTATCTGGTTGTCATACTCTCATTAAGTTACAATTTTCATCTGCTCAAGCAGAACATTAATGCCATCTTGTGCTTCAGCAAGGTATCGCTGGCTAAAACTAGCTAACAGTAGCGTTAACTAGGGATATCCAGTGAGAAGCGTTTGAACTCGCCGTAGAATGAATACGGCTGCTGCGAGATCTAGTGAGAAACATTCAAATTCTGCACATAATTCTGTTATGAACAGATCAAACAGCGCTGACCAAGTGGTAACCTTCTGGTCTCTCTCTTGAAACCAACACGAAAGTGACTTAAAGGTGCCATAGAATGCATTAATACAATTAAATTATTTAGATAAAACCAGATCAAAACACGGGGCATTTATACTTATAAGCGCCAGCGCGGGTCAAATTTACCCACTATATAATGCCTGTATGTTCGCACTGTCATTTTCGTGTCGCTTATGTTTTAACATAGTACATTGCTAGGCAATGCCTTTCACTCACTGAATTAGCGGTTATCAGTTTCATAAATAAAGACAAAATGAGTAAAAGAAGGCGCAGTTTGCGTTCAGTGGATACTCTCCAAAATGGCACTATGGTGATGCGGAGGAGACGAATTGTTGAATAAAGTTGTTATTTTTGTTTTCTTTGAGTTCAAAAAGTATTCTCGTCGCTTCATAAAATTCACATTGAACCACTGATGGCAGATGTACTGTTTTGACGATGTCCTTCATACTTTTCTGGGCCTTGACAGTGTTATTTACTTAGCAGTCAATGGGACAGTCACAAGCCTCCCGGTTTTCATCCAAAATATCTTAAATTGTGTTCCGAAGATGAACAAAGCTTTTATGGGTTTGAAACGACATGTGGTTAAATGATTAATGACAAAATTTTCATTTTGGGATGGAGTAACCCTTTAAAGTAAATTTTGCATGCTTCCCAACTCAAGCTCAGTGCTTTACTGTCAAATGTGTATTACCAAGAAATAAACATGTAATATTATTAGTAACTGCACTTATTAATGCAGAACAGTAGTAATTTTATGATTAAATTATCTTTATTTTTCATACCCCACACGCCAGCCCCCGAGCGCTACCAAATCTGCTTCTGGTGCCACCATACGTAGAACTTAGTGTCGCTGCTCTCAAATTTTAGACTGGAGCTTTGCACTGTTACATCAGAGTTCACTTTTATGTTCACATTTCTCCGATTTTTACAAGTTACTGAAAATGAACCATTTTTACTTTTATTTCAGAGTTGATTGAAGAAAAAGAGGAGAATAAAGAATCAAGTGAAGTTGAGGAGACAAATCATGTCAAAACTGGAGAAAAACCTTTGAGTTGCTCTCAAACCAAACAGAAAGATTTAAAGAAAACAAGAGCCAATAAATCTTTCACCTGCACTCAGTGTGGAAAGAGTTTCACACACAAATATGGTCTTGAGCGTCACATGAGAATTCATATAGGAGAGAAGCTATTCACTTGTGATCAGTGTGGGAAGAGTTTCACAGAATCAGCAACCCTTAAGGTACACATGAACATCCACACTAGAGAGACGCAGCACACATGTGATCAATGCGGTAAAATGTATTTATGGGCTTCAGTTCTGAAGAAACACTTGAAAGTTCATACAAAGAAGAAGCCACATTCATGTAATTTGTGTGGTAATAGTTTTTTGCGTCCACAAAATTTGAAAGAACATCAGAAAATACATACGGCTGTGGGAGAGTACATGTGCTTTGAGTGTGGAAAGACTTTTACTTCAGCGAGCAGTTTAAAACTGCATGAGAGGATTCACACTGGAGAAAAACCTTATAAGTGTTCACACTGCGACAAGAGATTCAGTCAGTCAATACATCGGAAAACACATGAGAGGATCCACACTGGAGAGAAACCTTATAAGTGTTCACACTGTAACAAGAGATTCAATCATTCAACACATCTGAAAACACATGAGATGATCCACACTGGAGAGAAACCTTATAAGTGTTCACACTGCAATAAGAGATTCAATAAGTCAGGAGACCTGAAAACACATGAGAGGCTCCACACTGGAGAGAAACCTTATAAGTGTTCACACTGTGACAAGAGATTCAATCAGTCACCAAATCTGAAAACACATGAGAGGATCCACACTGGAGAGAAACCTTATAAATGTTCACACTGTGACAAGAGATTCAATCAGTCAACACATCTGAAAACACATGAGAGGATTCACACTGGGGAGAAACCATATCACTGCACTGCAGGTGGGAAGAGTTTCATTCAATCATCTGCTTTACACAGTCTTACAAAAAAACAATAACAGTAAGGCCCATCCACACGGAGACACATTTAGCTTTATACATAAATATTTTGTATCGTAATGCCATTTTTCCAGATGGATCCAGTGTTTTAGTAGCCTGAAACCACTATTTTTTGCAAATGGGTCCCAGAGTGGATAAATCTGAAAATGACACCTTTGCGTTTTGTGTGTACAGCCAATCTGTATATTTTGTGAAACAATGATGTCATCACCTGATGTCTCGACCCTAGTCAGACACCGCTACATCACGTAACAACAACAACAGCGGTGGACTGGACTACATGCTTGTGTTTATGCTGCAGAAGCTACTGTATATTAGCTTTACTATATTAGCTTTACTAACTTTACTAGCTTTTTTGTTGTTGTGATGGGTTTGGATACGGCGCACAAGGTTTATAAACATGATCCAAGTCGTCTTCTCCATTTTTAATGTATCTCTGTGGCAGAATTACAGTGCCACATACTGGTCTTGCATGTATACTACATCATTTTGAGTCGGTTTCAGTGGTTTCTTGTGTACGCAGATGTTTCTTGAGACGCCATGTTTACGAAAGAAAAAAAAAGATTGGACCGGGAAAGCTCTGGCTTTTTGTGGATGAGCCCTAAGTAGATCATCTTCAGATCCAGCACTTTCAGGTCTGATGCTGCCTCCTCACCAAATTTGTAACAATAATGCATCAAGTAATAAAATATCATCTGGATAATTCTGTTCTAACCAGTCATTACAGGTGACATGATAAATAAACATTATCTAAAGTTTTCACAGTGAATAAAGTTAATATTTTTCTTCAAAACCAGCTGTTTGAACTGTGAGATTCAGATCAACTCAAAGATGGCGTTTCTCCCCAAAGAACAATGTCAAAATGTTTTATTCTTGGATGCCATTTTGCTTCATGATATGAGATTGATATTTAATATTGTTCTTCACTGTTGTTTTTAAAATTACTAGCTATTCTTCCACTTCCACTGATGTATTTAGAAAACACAGAGGCAATATATACTGTCATGTAGCTTTGCAACTGATGCTTCTGTGCTTCTTCTGTAAGTAGAAATGAATACCTAAACCCGGTATTGCAAGGATCCACCCAGATTAGCCCAAAGACGGAATCAAATTGGTGGGTGAAGGCAGGGTCCCGTCACTAGTGGGGTGAAAGGTGGTGATGATTATAGGGGCCCCCCGGTGATCTCAACCGACTGGGTGATGCCAGCCTAAAAAGACGCTCAGGACAGTTAATGGGCCACTGCTGCGCATCATCATGAAAGCTTATCATTTGCACGTGTTTTTAAGCCTTGCCAATTTAAACATTCAAAAGAGTTTAATGCATTCAAACACAGGATGTGGAAAAATTCAACTGAGTACTCACGCACCGTGTTCGGTGGGCACGCAGAGAGCCGTCTAATGGACAGCAACCTGCACCTGAACGAACAAATACAAATCGCAGTTTAAACATGCAAACAGAAAAAGATGTGAAAAAGCCCAATTTAGCACCCGCGCACTGTTCTGTGCGCACAGGGCGCACGCAGTGAGACGGGTTTCAAAGCGCTTGAACACTGAATTTGCCTCTTGTTGCTCTTGTACTTACAAATACATACAAAATTGTCAAAATACCCGTCTTGGAGAAAAACTGTCAGTTATGTCTTAAGTGAAAGTAAACAGTGGAGAAAGAAATTGGATGTGTATAATTATAATGGATGCATTGTCTCTTAAAGTGACCACGCCTAATTTACTAGCTGCTGTAATGTTAATTCAAGAAAATGAATGAAAGAAAATCACTCACTGCTCTTGACTGAATTACTTTGTAGTTTTAACAAGAATTAATCCGCATTCAAACCAAAAATTATTCAGACACCAGATGTAATTTTTAATATTTTTTTACTAGTGGGTGCAGGACACTATAATTCATTTATATAAGAGAAAAACTGTCAGTTATGTCTTAAGTGAAAGTAAACAGTGGAGAAAGAAATTGGATGTGTATAATTATAATGGATGCATTGTCTCTTAAAGTGACCACGCCTAATTTACTAGCTGCTGTAATGTTAATTCAAGAAAATGAATGAAAGAAAATCACTCACTGCTCTTGACTGAATTACTTTGTAGTTTTAACAAGAATTAATCCGCAGTCAAACCAAAAATTATTCAGACACCAGATGTAATTTTTAATATTTTTTTACTAGTGGGTGCAGGACACTATAGTTCATTTATATAAGTGAGGATAGCAAAATAAAGTAAACTGTGACATATTATACCCAACAATTCTTCCTACAGTGGACTACCAGTAAAATAGAATAATTTTTGGTCCCAAATGTTTTATCAGACACTTTGACCTGACCATGTTTTCTTAAGTGTTTTTTTTTAAATTGCTAATGCAATCTCTCTCTCTCTCTCTCTCTCTCTCTCTCTCTTAGGCATGGGTCTGTCAAGTTCAGATCCAGTAGCTGGGTGAGAAACTAGCTGGATTGCTGTTTAAGCAGATCTAAATCCTGAGTAAGAAAGCTAGATACCTCTCTCATCTGATGCTAATACAGTAGCTGATTCAGAAGCGCCAGATTGTCATAGCAAAGTCAGAATTACCTCCTCTCCTAGGTTCATGAAACGGTCGTCAATAAAATGCATTACTGTTCTGTTGAAAGTGATCTTAAAGATTCCTAAATGCATCTACTTTCGGAAGGCCAAATAAAGTGCTTTTGCGTTCGCCTAGAAACACACAGCGTCTCCCTGACATGGCTGCTTCAACACTAACTGCGGTTACTGAAACCACGCCTTCTTTCTTTGCGTG